CCTCGGACTTCTTTACTCATGTCCAGCTCTCACATGCATAGGGAGCGACTGAAAATCCCATGGCTTAGTTACCGGAAAGATTGCTATTAGGTGCCATCGAGTTGGTTCCGACTCACAGTGACCTGATGTACAACAGAACAAAACCCTGCTGTAAAGCTAACAGTCTAGGAATCCCCACATAGCAGTTGTCTTCTCTCCCTGGAGGTGGCTCAGTGTCAGAGTGGACTTGACAGTCTCCGCAAAGCAACAGCAATCTAGTGCATCAAACACTGTAGGGGACGCCTAAATATTTGTCGAATGATTGAATGAATGAATGAATGCAGGCATACATAGAGGAGTGAAGTCACTCTGCTCAGTGCCCCACAGGCAGACCTCAGTCAGCAGCATACTTAGTTTTCCCACCTGCCCCCTCCCCCAGCAGCTCCCTCTGTCTCTGTCCCTGGAGCCTAAAAGGGAAAGGACAAAGAGCACTCATCAGAGAGGAGACACGGTCATGTCCAATGTCATCTCGGTTTTATTTGATTAGCTCCGGCGCCAGCATCCAGGACACGTGTGCTGGGAGCCAAAGCTACTGTACCCTGACCTCTGGTCCAGGCAATCCCATCCTTATGCCGATTTCCATGACAACGGCCGCAGAAAGCCAAAGCTTGTGAATTTCCTTTGATGGGAGCCGGATGCAGAGGCAGGGGGAAAAGAACTTGGAGAAGAAGGAGGCTCTTTGATTCTGCTCAAGGCTCCTGCATTAAATACCATGATTTCCCAAGAACACACATTTTAACCCTGTAGAAGGAGAGAGCTGGGGGACACTAATGAGAGAGAGAGACAAAGAAACATAACAACGGTTCCTTTTCAAAAGCATGCCCCTGTGTGGGGCCAGGCAGAGCTGGTTGGGGTCCTGGGTGTCTGTACTTTTTAAAATGAAACTGGCAGGTAGGGTATGGGGTCCTCTGCTAAGTGGAACACAGAAACCTTGGAGGCCAACTGACTCCAGGCCAGGGAGGGAGGAGGAAGTGACAATGGCAATGTTACCATAAGGTGGGTGGTAAATGAAGGGGTGGACTAATTCAAAGGCAGGCAGGGGCTCATAAGGGGTCACTGGTACATGTTCCCTAGGGACACTGGGTCACCCTTGCCCCTCCCAGCTCTTCATGGGGCAAGAGCCAATCCAGAGTCCTGCTTAATCAATTTGCTTGTAGATCTCCTTCACCAAGCATCTCACTACCCTTCTAGGCACTGATCCATTCATACCATTCTCCACCAGCTACCCTCGACCATGCTGCCTGCTCCCTGCACAGCCAATCACCATGTTCCCACTGCCTGCTCCCTGCACAGCCACACCATCATGTCCCCACTGCCTGCTCCCTGCACAGCCACACCATCATGTCCCCACTGCCTGCTCCCTGCACAGCCACACCATCATCCAATGCATGTTCCCTGCGTAGCTCACACCATCATATCCCCCGAGCATCCCTCATCTCCAGCCCTGACCTCACTGCATCTACCCTTGAACTAGCTGAGGATAGTGGAGCCTGTAAGATCTGGGTTCAAATCCTCACTCTACTGCTTTCTAGCTGTGTGATTGACTTGGTGCCAGTCAATTCCCTTCTGAGAAACCCAAGCCCTTGACAGACAGAGATAAGGATCTGCCTTTCCATGTGCTACCCAGAGAATATAGCAAAAAATAACTGTGTACATGGTAGGGACTCCTGATGGCAACAGCCATGGTTCAATATGGTATGATGACCAATATCATCATTATTCCTCAGTGGAATACCTCTTGTTGGTTCTTATAACTATTATTAGGATTAGGCTTCACATTATTAACATACTTACTGTTTGTTTTATACCCAGTCCTGTTGGCCACAGGGGTGTGGGCACACACCTACACACACATATTGTGTTCACAAGGCCTTGACATTCCCAGGCCCTGAGGGTTACCATTCTGCTTCATCTCAGAAGACTAAACAAGCCAAGCCAAACCAAACCAAACCAAACCCACTGATGTTAAGTCCATTCTGACTCACAGCAACCCTGCAGGACAGAGCAGAAATGCTCCTTAGGATTTCTGAGACTGTCAATGTCTCCAGGAACAGACCCCCATCTCTCCCCTGTGGAACAGCTGTCTTGTAGTTACTAGCTCAAAGTTCAACCCACTGTGTCACCAGGGCTCCTGCTCATCACCTATTACCTTGCTTCAACCCTCAAAGTCCCAATGTCCCCAAGTCGAGGGCAGTGTTGCAGCCGTGTTCCCAGCTAGGAGCAGGCTACACAGCCATGTCTTTCTTCAGGGAGTTCTGTGGCATCCCACCCAGAGACGGCCTCTCACATACCTGGCTGTGCACTTTCTCCAGCTCCTCCTTGCTGACTGATGTCTTGGTGTCCTCCATAGCCCTGAGGAGGAGCTGCACATCCGACAAGAGTGCGTGGGTCCTCTTGAGGTCCCTCCGAAGACGCTTCTCCACATCAAAGTCCCTATGGCCAATCTGGAAGCCAAAGAACGATCCGTGAGCTCAGACGGCAGTGCAGTGACAGGACCTGAGGTCTTGGAAGCCGGGATCCTTGCCTTCAAACCCAGCCCCCATCACTCTGTGCACACTGTGTGACCCTGCAGGAAAGCTGTTGCTTCTCTTCATCTGCAGGATGGATGCTGGGAAATTTAAATACACACTTAAGCTAATGGCTGGCTCATAGCACGTGCATATAAGGGAGATGCTGTCCTTACTGTTGCTGAAGGAGTGGCTGTCCTAAATGTTACAGACTTCTGGAGGCACTGTGGATTAGGCATTGGACTGCTACCTGAAAAGTTGTTGGTTCAAACCCACTATTGGCTGAGGGAGAAAGATGGGGCTGTTGGCTTCCATCAAAACTTACAGTCAAGGAATCAATATCTAGGGTTGTTAGGTGGATTTGGCTCCACGGTAGTGAGTGGGTATCCTGTTATCAGAGCTTTCAGGCACTGAGAATCATCTTATCTCATCTTTTGCACCAAAATCATCCATCTAGCCATCCCCCACCTGATAAGGGCCTATGTCCAGTGGGACCCTCTGCTATGGATCAGAATCATGAGAATGGTTGTTCAAGGGGGGCAGTCACTGACTGGGGAGGAGAGGGTGTTATGGGGGTTCACTATGCCATTGGTGAGGTGTGGTCAGCTTGTGAAAACTCATCGAGTCAACATGTCGGATACAGTGTGTGTCTCCACATGTATGTTGCATGTCAGGCTGGACACGTGGCATTGAATGAATGTTACCCAAACCAGCACCATCAAGATGCCTGCCTGGATGTGAACTCTTACATAACTCCTTGCCATCACATGAGTCAACTTATAAAGACTCTATAGAACAGAACAGAATTGCCCAGGTAGGTTTCTGAGGCTGTCAACCTTTATAGGAGCAGTCAGCCTCATCTTTCTCTCAAGGAGCAGCTGGTGATTTTGAACTGTTGACCTTGAAGTTAGCACCTAATGCACAACCACTATGCCAGCAGGGCTCTGGCATGGATATTACACTTCAGTAAGTGCTGCTGTTGCTCTTCAAGATCGAGATCAAGTCTCTCTCTCTGTTTAGCTGCTCCAGAAGTCTGGTGGTACAAATGGTTTCTACTGGTGATTCTTCCAGTTATTCTGCCAGGGAGCAGAATGTTCACATGCTTAGCTGCTCACTGAAAGGTTAGAGGTTCAAATCCAACCAAAGGTGCCTAAGAGTCAAAGCCCAGAGATCTATTTCCAAAATACCACGGCCACTAGAAACCCCATGGCACAGTTCTACTCTCACCCACAAAGGCTCATAACTGACTATTAGCTGGTCTCCTTTGCCAGTTATAAAGCAGCACAGGGCATCATTTTCTGGAGTTAGACCTTGGGCAGAGGTGAGTGCCTGTCTGCCCTCAAAACCCTAAGCTTTAGGACCTGCCCTTGAAGGAGACAGTTGTTCAGTGCCTTCATAAGATGCTCCATCCTGTTCTTGGCATCAGAAAGGTGAGCTAAGATTCCTACTCAACTCCCAGTGGCCACAGAGCAGGTTTTGGCTGCCACCTGGGTACAGTCCTCAGTCCCACAGCCCAGGTTGTCCTCTGCAAGTCAATGGTGACTTCAGAAGCCATTGGTCATCGTCTATGAAATCAATGAAGAACCCCTTTCTCAGACTCTTCAGGAGACCAAAGAAAGAACATGGCACTCATCAATGCCTAGCTCAAACTCACTGCCATGGGGTCGATGCTGACTCACAGTGACTCTCTAGGACAGAGTAGAACTGCCCCGGTGGTTTTCTAAGACAGTAACTCTTTACAGGAGTAGAAAACCTCACCTTTCTCCTGAAGAGTGGCTGGTGGTTTTGAACTACAAATCTTACAGTTTGTAGCCCACTATGTAACTACTATGCCACTAGAGCTTCCTACCCATTGCTGGCATCAAGGCATGGGGAGGTTGAAAGAAATTCAACATAGGAACTTGGTTTCTGTCCACCTGTTCCTCGCCCCAGGCTTCCCACCAAGGCTCACTGCTTGCTAGTGGTAAAAACCCTAGCTGAGCCATGTCCCCTTTCTGAGCCTGATTCCTTGTCTATGAAGAAGTTTAAAAAGATATATGAAAAAATCCTTGTCCACTGTAGTGTCATAAGACAAGGATCAGGCGTGCTCACGGATCAGTAAGTTGTTGTAAACTGGCACCTGCTTTACAAATATATAAGGAATTATGAGTGTTGTCTGATGACCTAAAGCACATTCCTTCAACTCTTACATGGCCATTCCACTACTTGTGGTTTTGAATTCTTTGAAAAATGACTTGGTTCCTCATGCTGAACCTCTCTGTCCACAGATACAACTGTTGAATTATCTGATAGACAGATAACCTGTGTCTGCTGCTATCAGGTTGATTCTGACTCCCAGCCACCCTATAGGAAAGGTAGAACTGCCCAATAGGGTTTCCCAACTGATACTTTTATCTCCTAAAAGCCTTGATGGCACTGATGGGTTTTGGACTGCTAACCACAAGTGGTTTAAAACCACCAGCCACACTTTGGAAGAAAGGTGAAGAAGCTGTCTACTCACAAAAAGATTTCCAGCTTCAGAAATCCTATTGAGTCGTCATGGGTCAGAAATGAATTGGTGGCAGTGGGTTTGGTTTTCAGGTGAGATCATCCTTATGGAAGCCAGTTACAGTGTAGTGGGTTAAGTGTTGAGCTTAACCCACTGGAACTGCAAGGTCAGCAGTTCCAAACTGCCAGCTACTCCAGTGGAGAAAGAGGAGGCTTTCTACTCCTGTAACAGGTTATAGTCCCAGAAACACACAATGGCAGTTCTACTCTGTCCTACAGGGTTACTGAGTCAGAATTGACTCCATGGCAGTAAGTTTGGGCTTTAGTGTTTGCATGAACTATAGTTTAAAAAAAAGTTGTTAATTTCCAGGGTTACACTGAGTGCTTTTTTTCTGTAAATGGGCAGTAGGACAAATAAATTTGGGAATCTATGGTATAGATAGATAGACAGATAGGTAGGTAGGTAGGTCGATAGAGCCATGGTGGTGCAATGAGTGGGGACTGGGTTGCTAATGGTAAAGTTGGTGGTTCGAGTTCACCAGCTGCTCCTCATGAGGAAGCTGGGACTGCCTGCTTTTGTGAAGATGAACAGTTCTTCTCAGTGCTATAGGTTTGCTATGGGTTGGAATTAACTTGATGAGTTTGGTTCAGTTTGATCACATACATATATAAATACATACATACATACATACACACACACAAGTGTGCTTCCAAAAGTTTATAAAATGTCCATTATCCAAAGCCC